AAAATTTCGGCGCTTGTCGCGAATCTGGAGCTTGAGCTTATGGCATTTGAGAGGAATCCGGCGTGCGAAAGAATGTCTGTGGAGGCTGTTGAGCTTGGAATAAAACATTTGAAGTGTGTCGTAAACTTTCAGTGTTGAAGTGTAAAGTTTCATGTGTGATGCGCTAGTATGATGGAGAAGATAGGCGACGAAATGCACAATGATGCTAGGTTATCTCTGAAGGATGGATGAACAAGATGATCGAGAAGAGAGCTGGCAAGATGCGATGATGTTATCTCCGGCCATCGTCGACTACTTCTTCCTCCGCCTTGTGAATGGTGTGTGCAGCAGTTCAAGAAGGAGATATCAAGGTGGATAATGCACGTGCTCATATACGCTACTCATATACAAGTCGATCCCACGCCCGTAAATTTACAGCACAAGGGATCCGAGCCGGCGCCTAGTCATTTTTTCTTCTTGTTTGCCTGTCCGTCTTTGTGCTTGCCGTCCTTCCCCTTCTCAGTTTTGAACTTGTCTGTTCCCTTGGTACTAGCCTTCCCTTTGGTAGAGGGTGCACCTTTGGTGCTAGCAGGGGTAGCCTTGGGCTTGCTGCCTTTCTTCGGAGGGGGCATCAAGAGCGATAGAAAAGGGGAAAGGTGGAAAAGTAGTGGAGGAGGTGCTGCCGAAGACGAGTTGTTAGTAAAGCAGAAAGGAAAATTGCTCTGATATAACATACTCACAAGGAAATCAGTCGTACTGACTGTCAGTGCCCAATTGCTCTCGTAGTGCGAGTGGAGCTTCGAGGCGAATGGTGAACGGACAAAGAATGGGCAAGCGGTGACTGTAATACGTAGCGTCGCAGAGACGTTCGTGTGCGTAACTGCTCTTATACCGGGCAACATGCAGTCGGTGATGAGTGGCGATCTTCCAGACGCACTGCAGGGAAGGCGATAGGTCTCACGGTCATGATGAAGAGTAAAACACGTGGCGGTGGAACGAGGCCTGTTTCGAGGATGGAGGTGTACTTCTGAGGGTGTGTCTGATGACACTCGTGCTGTTGGCCGGAAGCATTGTAGATGACCTGCTCACGTATACGCAGAAAACAGCTCAGCGACGTTGTCCAGCACGACTTGTGCTTCAACTTCAATGATGACATTGCCGGACATGTCATTACTGGGCTCTTTCTTTTACTGTGCGCTCAAATGAGCGCTTCTTCTATGTTTCATGGTACATCAATACTGTATCGACGCCCTATCATTTCCATGCCAGACCATCAAGGTAAATACGACACGCTGGTACATGACACTCGGTGGAGATGTCCGCCACCACGTTGGATGAGGCAACGAATCCGTCAACCGGGTGGGCGATGACCTGTTATCTTTCTCCGTTACTGGAAATGACGATTTCGTCGACTTAGCTCCCTCAAGATTACACTGATCATGACTAATGGTCAAGATACATCTGCTTCAGAGGGCGGCGGCCTTGAGATGAAATTATGGTGATGGGCCGGGTTGTTGATTGAGAGATGGTGCTGCATCTTGAGCCGAGAGAATCGAACGACATTCATGTGAGGCCTGGTCATCGATTGTCAACGAGAGGTGGACATATCTAATCGTAACGAGTTCAATAGTGCTTCAATGGGCCAAAGATTGGCCAAAAGATTGGTCATGGATACCTGACATCTGGCAACTGACAAGTCAACGATGACGTGGCGAAGCTGAACTCTCAGTCTGCATTGGTAGTTCGATATTGCATATTCCTGTCTCGATTCGCATACCTCCAGGTGGCTTCTCTACTCGTATGGTTCCCTGTAAGGGGCTAGTACCCAGCAACCCAGATCACTCATCCAGGGGGAGACGGTATCCCACCAGATCATCACCTCATTCTCGGGGTCATACACGACTCTCTGTGTATCTCAATGAGCTGTACATCTCGAGGCGTAAAGTAGTTGTTTTCAAGGCCTCCATAGAAACTTACTTCACACCACCAGCACTCCAGTCCTACTTCAACGAGATCATGTGGTAGATCGAGAGGGGCTTTACAGTATGGACAAAATGGCCGACTAGTGTTGGAAAGAACGTATTGCGGCATTATTAAGTCTGTACTGTCGCTTGCGAAGCAAGGGGGGGCGAAAGAACTGGGAATATTTTGTACACCAAGCTGTGTGATCAGAAGGTTACAGACTCATGGCACCCCCAGAGCGACGAGACGTGTTAACCCTCATACATGGTCGTCGTTCTTAATAAAGCTTCGTGGGTGGCGCAATGAATCGCACCGCCAAGCCCATCTGCCTGACCCAAACTGCCTTGCTATAGAGCGCGAGTTCGTTTTCACCATACTTGATGTGATCGTTGGAGGGTGTCGGGTGGCCGCTCTTGTCGTGGTCATGTTCAGGACTATGCAGGCGCCGATCTTTCCGAGGACTGGTAGTCTCTCAAACATCAAACGCTTCCGAGAGTTGATGCTAACGGACGACAATTGGAATCAGGGAGAAGATCATAACTGTATACATGTAGTGTATTGATGTCGATCACAACACGCTCGTATGTGAGCATCACCCGCGCTGTCGAGGTTCTCGGCGAGGAGTACTGAAATGCGGAAGGTTGTGGAAGAGCTTCATCATCTGTGCACACGGGCCCAATGATACAGTATTGCATGAATCGTCTAACGATCGTTATCTCTTGATCAGATGTGTAATTATTCTACTGTCATAGTCATAAGAGCCATCTGTGAAATTCGTTCATTCAAGTAGATTATTAGTTGTGTTTTTAGTGGACCGTGTGCTCCGTATATATAGATATCAAAATCTTCTTTCATACTTCAGTTCTTCTTTGTATGCGACAATACCGAAAAGGTTTTTGCCCCCTATAACAAAACTCTCTTCAGCGCGCCAAGGGCACCACCCAAGCGTGGCATCTACCCAAAGTCACGGTAGACTATTATGGCTGTTTCCTCCTATATCTACAGTAGGAATGGTCTCCACCGGAGCGAGGCGCCATCTACCTTCCTCCAAGGTTTCTGGTAGCATATAATCTAGATCTCCCTCCACTCTGGGAAGGTCCTCATCACTGGAAAAATACCATTGGCGCGAGAGAATGCAACACACTGCGTTATCGACTGAGTCAAGCTCTCCATAGCTGAGGTGAAGGACACATACGCAACACTCGGGGCAGATTAGACCTTCGCGGGGCCTGAAAAAGGGGACTTCTCCCAGTTTGTGCCCGCAATATTGGCCCGGACAGCACCAGTATGGGATTGCAAACTGCCAGCGCATGATCGAAAATAACAATGGGCCGAGTAAGAGAATGGGCAGTTGCTGGGTCGTGGTAGGGGAAAGCCTCAATGCTGGTTGTGATGTCGAGGACGAAGCTGTGGGATGGTGTTGCGAGGAGCTGGGTAATAACCGCCGAATGAGATCAGAGAGACCGAGGAGAGCTCAATTAGACGCTTACGTCCTGTATATAACGGGCATCTCTGACACCTGATGGCGCGGCAAAGGATCGTGATTCGCCACTCCCCCACTCGTATTGCCCTGGTTGCCGAGTTACCAGCATCAACCCATGTCAAAGAAGCTTCCAACCTGGCTGTGTCTCAGGCACTAACTATAGCACGCTTCCTTTCCTCAAATTTGACGCGAAATGTACACAGCATGTATGGTTCACATACCGATGAAAACTCCATGCGCTTGAGAGTGTTCGTTGGTCGCGCGAAGAACCATTTTGAGTTTTTGCAATCGGATCAAATCAGCCGTTCATTTGTCCGACACCACATCACACACACTAAGGATTGAGGAAAATGCGATGTCCTGCTCATGAGGATGGAGATATGCTATCTCAATGTTCATCAGTGGCTGAGAGGAAATCATGCTTGAAGCTCGCGGGCGACCTTCGGGACCGGACATTGCTGACATTCGGTGTTCATCAGCCACAGTCAGTTTGCTGCCCGGCGAGCTTTGATCAGAGACGAAACATGACCAGTACGCCAGTCCAGGATGGAGACATACACATAGATGTCCCGAATCATAGCTTGATCCGCTTTCGTCGAACAGGCTCGCAGAAGGAAACGCCGTTGACAGACCTCAGGCAGCCTCTCGCGTTAAGAGAACGAAGACAACCTCTCCTCATTGAAAATGCATGTCCCATGGGTACGCCTCTTTGCCTTGCGGGATGTATACTACCGGACATTACGCCGCTCCCAGAAAGTTTCTCTCACCGGTCGAATGTGGTACTCCAAGCTGAAGACAACTGTCTACTCGATAAGGACGTTGTCAGTTGTCAGTAACGGTAGCAATAAGTCGCACCTGCGTATCATTCATCAATCAGAAGGGCATACGGGAAGGTGCTGAGCGACCATACCTGACAATTCGGACATCGCGTTCCGTTCAACAGATTAAAACGGTCGACAGGAGCTATCTGAGTATTACAAAACTCAAAAGGACAAACGTAATACACGACCGGTACGAGGAAGAACGGCATCGCGAGAGAGGGTGAGATGCGGTATCGGGTAGGACAAATCAAGACCCACAATCAATGAAGAAGTGTATAATGGAGTGATTGCACGACTTCGCACTGCGAAAAGCATGCAAGATCAACAAGCACCACCCGCCTCGTGTCTTGCAGACCTCGTTGTCTCGGCTACTTTGTCTGCAAAAGGACAAAAAAAAAAACTTTATTGAGGGCCCTATTCCTTTCCTGCCATCCCTCCATGGTTTCGTCCTCGTCATTGTAGTATCACCCCCGCCCGTGTGAACCCATTCCACTTAGACCCCTTTTTGGCAAGGGGAATCGTTTGGTTAAGGCGTGGTAAACTGACATCATTTGTTACTGGGGAAAATCCTACTATATGGCTGTTACATTTCAGCCGGGTGTTTATGACTAGATACTCTTTTATTCTGCTTTGCCAATATTAGGCCAATTTTTCAAGATACAGTACCCATTTCTGGATGTATACTGATAATGGTAATCAATCATCTCCGCTTTGAAAGCTCGAACGTCCTCATTCACATCAGAACGAAACATTCATCACGTGATCAAATCTTCACCCGACGCTGCCCCTAGACTAGCGACTTGACTGGGAGCCAAAAGCAGGTACGAACGTTCCGTCTTCCTGCTTCACATACGGCTTTCGAGTAGTGCGAATGTCGTCGTCGTCATCGAGGTCTATAGACGTTGCGGGCACGAAGTAGGTGGTGTCGATGCCCTCACCAAACTTGAAGTATATCTCGGTTACCACTTGGGAGGTGAAATCGCCTTCTTCGTTGGATATGGTTGTGGGAGGGTCCGAACGGCTATTACTTGGCTGGCTTTCTTGCTGAGACATGTTTGATAGGTGTTGATGCGGGATGCGCGAAGGTCAACATACTCTCATGATAATACCGGGATTTATAGCTTACTGCAAGCATTGTTCTCTTTTCACTATTTTTCGAACTCAAAGAGGCAACTACTCTCATCATAATATCGGGATTTATATCGTACTGAGAGCATTGTTTTCTTTTCACTATCTTTCAAACTCAAGAAGGCAACAGAAGCTAAAGGAGGCTGACGGGATATGTGATGCGGCATTGCTATGTTCGAAGGATCGATTATATCACATTGTATGATGCAAGGATAGATCGAATACGAAAAGATCATGCCAGGAATTGGGAGCTAATTTTATCGTACACTCTATGTGTTAACTAGCTCATCGCGCTGTACATAGTTTTTACGATTCACTACCAAGCATCTCTACCCAGCGAAGAATACGTGTACTGGACCCGCGAGGTCCCGTTGCGCCTGGCATCATGCGATCTCTCTCGCCCCCCGCTGTGCGTATGCGCTTATCATGTCAATTATGGAGTCTCGCGTTGGATAATACTTGCATATTCATCGCCTCTTTTCAGACTTGTATAGTTCCCGAACGCATCCGACTCATGTACTGCGCCAATAACGATAGCTCTCAAGATGAAATATCCATCTGAGAAAGGTGGGCCAATGATACAAGGCCGGGGGGTTTGAAAATGGACGTGTTTGTCTTTTCCAGAGTGGCAGCCGCATCAGGTTGAATGTCACTGTCACGCTGTCTTCGCGCCTTCTGGACTCCGAGCATCGCCTATCGAGATCAGGACACACTATGACGAGGAGGCGCAGACGGAAGGATGCTATCATGTATTCGTTCTTCCGTTCGGATCACCCCATGCATATTGCCATGGCTACGAACAGTCCCTTGTAGAAGTTGGTTGCCGGAGTCTATACCACAGGTGCCGGTGACCTGAGCCAGGAATTCGGAATTGAGGGCCTCCACTTGGCATGCTTCCTCGCGGCTGCAACGTGTTCCCCCAGTACCGCGATCCACCCATCACCATCGACTTTTGCCGTCCTGTACGATGCATGATGCATTCCTCGCACGCTCAAACAGAAATGAGCTCGAAATATGCATGGATGAATGCTGAATTGAATTGTTGCAGCGGCCCATTGACTGCGGCGTTGAGCGCCTCTGAGGTCAGTCAAACGCCGGCCGAAAAAACCGCGTATCTTCTGTATCTTTCAACTTTTTGGTGCTCACACTCGACTCGCACACCCAGCAACACTCCTTATCCCCCGCCCAAAAGTAGAACAACCACAGCGCACATTCCTGCACCCCGTACGCTCTTCTGACAAGGTGAGCTGCGTTCTGTCACTCCACAGCCTCGACTCGCTCTGGTGCAACACCATGCGACATCAACCTCGGCATTTGTTTGGATCTCAAGCGTCAGCTTCAAGGACTCTGGCACCGTGTGATCCTGTCTTGGATTCCTCGTCTACTGGCTCGCAATAGAAGCAGCGAGGACCACTCGCCCGGCGATACCTGTGGCTCCAACCGGTCTTTATCGGCTTTGTGCTGGTCTGCGCGCCTCTTCTCATTCATCTTGCTTGGCTCTTGCATCAATACTCTCGCAAGACAGACGTGAAGCTGACTTGCACCACCAGTAGCACTTCTGAAGTTTAAGATACCCAACGATCCCCACCGTCCACCTTCTTTCGCACACCCCTTGAAATTTTGAAAATTCCCCAATCATGGCATCCTCCTCATCCTCCCCTTCCTCCTCCCTGCACTTCCAGCCCCACGGCGTCCATCTCGATCCACACTCCTCTTCGCCATTACCACACGGCGAGTCAAGCGTAGCTCTGGAAGAGGAAGAAGAGCACGATTATGAGAGTTTACCGGTGGGGCATGGATGGGCTACGAACATGGCTGCGGGAGCTCTTGTACGTCCATATACGCAATCGGAGTCTTGAAATGTTGAGCTGATCGTGTTTCGTAGGCGGGTATATCTGAACACGCCGCGATCTTTCCGTTAGACCTTGTCAAGGTAAGTCAGCTCTGGATTCGGTCATCTTTCGACGGGAGCGCTTACAGCTATCTACAGACTCGTATGCAAGTTCTCGCTCCCCTCACGCACGGCCTCTCCCTGTCCTCCTCCGCCTCCTCATCTGGCACTGCCGCTGCCGCCGCCCGATCCGCCCCTCCTCCTCAGCTCAACACCATCCTCTCCCATCTCCGCTCGATCTCCACCACCGAAGGCCTCCGATCCCTCTGGCGCGGTGTCGCCTCTGTTATCCTTGGTGCGGGTCCTGCCCATGCGGCGCATTTTGGAATGTATGAGTTTGTAAGGGAGGTTAGTGGGGGTAGGAATGAAGGGTGGCAGGGAGTTGGAGGGACGGCGTTGGCGGGAGCGATGGCTACTGTTTCGAGCGATGCTTTGATGAACCCTTTCGATGGTGAGTTCTCCTTTTCTCTTTCTGCTCGAGGCATAACTGACGGGCGTAGTCATCAAGCAACGCATGCAAATCCGCAATTCTCCCCACCGAACCGTCCTCTCCTGCGCCCGCACCCTCTACGCCACCGAAGGTCTCTCCGCCTTCTACGTCTCCTACCCCACCACCCTCACCATGTCCGTCCCCTTCACCGCCGTCCAATTCACATCCTACGAATACCTCAAAACCGTCCTCAACCCCTCTGGCGCATACAGCCCCATGACGCACGTCATTGCCGGCGGAGTGGCGGGCGGGCTGGCGGCGGCGGTGACGACGCCGTTGGATGTGGCCAAGACGCTGTTGCAGACGAGGGGGAGCTCGAGTGATGCGAGGATTAGGGGGGCGAGGGGGATGGGGGAGGCGTTGAGGATTATCTGGGAGAGAGATGGGGCGAGGGGGTTGAGGAGGGGGATGTGGCCGAGGGTTTTGACGGTGGCGCCTAGTACGGCTATCAGTTGGATGAGCTACGAGTTCTTTAGTACGTGTTTCTGTGTTCAGGCTTTGGGAGGTGTGCTTACAAATTTTGCAGAGGTTCTCATCAGGCAACACGGTGAATTGCCAGAATTTGGCCAATCTGTCTAATCACCTCCAACAATACCATTTTCCTCTCCCTCGCATCACCACCCGCCTCCGAAACACCTCCAGCATAATAGCATTGTACAAACGAAAGCAGACGAACGTAATGCGGACGAAGGAAGAGAGGGAGGATGGTTGATTGATGGGTGAACTGGTTGGGCTGGGTTGGATTGGGGTGATGGTGATTCGGCCGACTGACCTCGTGGTCGTCTCGCATTGTTTTCGGTCGATGGGAGGAGGACGAATAGCGTTTTGGGTATTTGCGTAGCATTCTCGAGTCAGAGTCGGAGTGGGAGTGGGAGTGGGAGTGGGGAGAGAGCATACTCGGGCAATAATGAGACAAAGGTCTTAGAGAGAATGTGTATGTATAAATTTACAAAGTCATTGATAGCATGCGGGTTTGTATCCTTACGCGAGGCTCCTCCATATACGTCCGTGAGTAGTATGGTCTTCTGGAGCAGTCACAGGTCTGTACTCATACCATTCTCGAGAAACCGCGCCGTCAAAACCTCAAGCAGAGACCAAGTACACCTCATCACCTCATCGTCTCACCCTCCCCTTCTTCCGCAAAGGCCCTTGTACAAATAACAACATTGATTCATACCTCATGACCAATTGAAAGAGCAACCATAGAGTTAGGAGCATAGAGCACATGTAGACTACCTCCTATTGCGGTGCAGGACAGAGCCGAGGACGAGGCCGGTGAGGGCGACGGCGCCTGTGATGAGGCCGATACCTGAATGAAGTTAGCTTTCTTTCTCTCGATGGTGGTGTTGACACTGCGTGGTGGTCTCGTAAGGATCCTATTCTGCCCATGTCATACCAAACCCGTAGCAGACCACCATGGACAGTCCCGTTGAAAAGCAAGGGCCGACTCACCAATCAATCCATCCCTCTTCACCGCTCCTTCGATCAACTCTCCCAAACTCTTCGCCTGCATATTGTCTGGCTCGACGGATAAGAGGAGGTTGTTGAATTTACGGGCGTAGGCATAGTTGCCGAGTTTGTAGTAGCCTACGGCAATGTAGTAGGTGCATTCGCGGCGGTGGTCGGGGGAGGCAGAGTAAATTTCTGTCAAGCAGTCAGCTCGATTTAGGATGATAGGAGGGATATGGAGAAGAGGGAAGTACCTTGTAAGAGCTTGATACCCTCTGTTTGCAGCTCGTTGCCTCCAGACTTTATCAAACCCCATCCTACGCACCACCATCAGCTTTCCAGCACTCTCCCACACGTTGTAATCTCAGAGTGGCGCACCATAGTTGAATTTGCTCTGAACAGACACGTGTCCTTGTTCGATCTCCTTATAGTATTGTCTTCTCAGGACCTATACTTATAGTCAGCAATGCCCAAGAGAAAGGACGTCGCAATGGAGGTGGAGGCGAAGGGGAGACGGACTTCGAGCTCATCGGGGGACAGGGAAGTTTCAGCTTCGGCGGCGTAGGGGAGGTCGGTGGGCATTGTTGTGGATGGTGGACTAGGAGAGGAGGTGTATGGTATAGATGCTTTTGTTTGTAGGTGGCAAAAAGAAGGCTGGAGAAAGATGGAGGAGATGCCGAGCAGACGGCGTCATCGTGCGGCGAATTAGAATATGTTTGATTCCGCTAATGTGGCCATCAGGGTGATTAGAACTCTTTGGTTAAGCGACGCGAAGGCTGCGCGAAGGGGTGTTCAACAACCGTGTTTCGACGACATAGCTCGTCCTGGGAACGTATATAAGACGTCTTGCATGGTTAAAGTACTCACAACCTTCTCTAATCTCTTTTCTGTCAGAGCTTCTTTCGCAAATGTAACGCTCACCGACCTCGCGAAAGATCCTTCAACTCGCAGGCAGAACGGCTCCGGGTGATGGGTGCTGTGGGAAATCGTGTTATGACAATAGATATAACTGCTAGAGTACCGTATGATGAAGCCTGATAACGTACATCGGACAATAAATGCAAACAACGTTTTAGCGCACCTCTCAACCATCATTCACTGCTGCTGTCTTCTCAGCTGGCTGATGTTGACCTGGCGTCATCAACGGGATTGCCGGGCTGTAAGCATTACTCGCGTCGCATGCAAAGAGCGTATGTATTCTACCGAACGTCTGCCAATCACGCTTGACCTCATTTTGATGTTTCCACTGAGATAGAAGACACCTCGTCAGCCGCGTTGACATACGTTTGAGAGCCACGTACGTAGAAGAACGCCGCTTTGATCATCGAAGGGATCCGAATACTTTCTTTGATCTCATGTTGGGTACTGTTCACAGGGTGCCTCTCTGCATCGCTGTTAATATGATATTCCCTGAAGACAAGCTCCAATTCATCGTGCCTCATGTACACGCTCACGACGCTGTATGGCGTACCGAAACACGTTGTGCTGCGTCGCCCGATGAGCACAGAGAAAACAGTCGCTGTGCTTCTAGTCTTTTCTTACATGGTGCACATGGTCATGCGAGGCATGTACATACGGAGCCACGCGTCTCCGGTCCGACATAGACGACATTCGCTTGTTGCCTGTCGCTCAACCGAAAAGGACGGTATAAAATGAGGTCCAGCGACGTTAGAACACCGCATACGTTTCTAGACCGTGCCGGCTCATACATATACGAGTTAAATCAAGTACTCATCCTCTTTCGGTCAAAGTATCATCGTCAAGTCCGACATGCGCTTGATCTACTACCTTTGCCCTAACCCAGCTTGTCTACACGATTTGGGCTGCGTGCGTCCTGTAGAAGGAGCGGCGTGTCCAATCTGCGGAGTGGGTCCGATTATCATCTTCCTGTTTGGGGAAGAGTGCCAGAGGACGAAGCTGACTGAACATGAAGTGGATACTGTCATCGCAGGCCGCGGGGATAAATCCGACACCGATATCCATCAGTGTCAACACGATACCTCCAGGCTGTGGTTGATAGCACACTACTCCGATTGCAGCTTGTGGGCGCCTGCGATCAAAACGTAGCAGCGAAATGCATACAGACAACATGACTGAATTGTAATCACAACGCTCGGCATTTTTCGTCCATTTTGCTGATTGCCTGACAAGTCAAACACTCTCTTCTTCTTTTTCAGGTGGCTGTTTGATTTTGCCAGCGGGCCACAGATCAATCACAAATGTCAAAAAGTATAGGTTCAACCCGTACGCGATCGTCCATTCCAAGACCGCTGCTTTTGATGACGTTGAATTGCATTGGTCTGCTGTGTGGTCGTTGTATGCAGTTGCTCTGCCACCGCACTATGATAGGTTAGCACCTCCAAGATGGATTAGTCAATAGTGGATGAGGTGCTTACGTAGAGGTATGTTGCACCAAAAGCAGCCGCGAGAATGATGTCGGCGCTGACGATAAAGAGTTTGAACCATGCGTTTCTAGGAAGATGTTTGCGGTGTTTATGACCTTTCCTGAGAAGCCACTGCTCAGTTTTCGTGATCAGTATGACTCTATATTCGATGATGTGGGGCCTATACTCACCACTTCGGCGGTTTGACAGAAGGCAGAGCTGCCGGTACCGATGATGAATATCAACGTCCCGTCCCAGTGGACTGTTGTATAGTCGTACGCGTTCCACTACCAAGTCCCAGTCAGCGATGATTGTCCTTCATTATTGGATGAAGGGCTCGGAGACGCACTTTGGCTAGGGTGAAAAGACCAGCGCATCCGATAAAACAAAACACCACCGCCAGCCACCCTGCGCATCCATGAACAGTGAGCAGCTGTGAGCTCTTTGTGGCGATGTGGCCTTACCAAGTATGTTCTCCCACTTTCCAATATGCTCTGGAAGGTCTCGTTTGTGTCTCAAACACCGGATGGCACATACAGATGAAAAATACAATCTTCGGCAAGCGCGTTAGTCTACATTCTGACGCTCGTGGTCTCGGAGTCGTTGACTTACATGTCTGTAAATATACAAATGGCCAAGAATAACGCCTCGTTGGCTCCTCCGATATCACTTATGAACGCCACATCCGCAACATTCTCATCATATCGCGGCCGTCCTTGACTGATCCATAGTCCCAGCAGCGATGTGAGGCCGGCAAACCATACTGTCGTGGCGAGGATGGGGAGGAGGATCCACGATTTGTCTGAGCAAGAGTCAGCGATGATTCGGGAGTGGTTTTAGAAGTGAGGAGGATTGGACATACACCACATATGCCTATGTCTTGAATCTTTGACAGACTGTATTTCGTCCTGCGAAATTTGTCCCTCCGATTTACTCATGATATCAGCACGACCGTCGTTCGTGCTGCTTTGTCGACTTTGGTGAGGAACTATATTGTGTAGTTTCGAGAGTCGGAGTCCGGCTTTGACGACATACATCCTCGCAAGAGAGGTAAATGAAAGCCCAGCTCGAGTTCACTTTTCACAACAGTGACCACCACGACATTCCCTCCTTTCGGCGGTGTCGCTGGTGTCGTACTGGTACACATCCTTTATGCTCTTGGGTCAGCCAACGTTGGGATCCTTTCGGGGAGGAGGGGCTCTGCCCAGACGATCAGCAGATATTCTCGCTATCTCCGGGCCGAGGCGGTCATTGAGTGTGACTAATGATAGAACAAATCATCTTTCACGCAATCTCCGCAATACCTGCTTCTTTTGACTCTCGGGATGTTTCACTTCTCATAATGGTTCGTCATACGTACAAGCTCAGTACATTGTGCATTTCTGACGATATGGTCGTTCCTATGGACTCCTTATTCCCAAAGCTGCGTTGGCTGAAACGGAGCCGCTTCAGCACACCTCCGATCAAATCCTCATAAAGGGAATCAGGTGCGCCGCGCATTCTCCGCATCTCACCTTACGACATAAAATCGCAGCCCCCGGTAGCAGATGAACATCCTCATCATCATCATCACATCACAACAAGCTCACCATGTCACAATACACAAAACAAACTTGGTCTAGGCGTGGCGACTACGGCTTTCCAGCCAATTCACCTGTCCAGAGGAGCACATACGACCCCATCGTGCTCAGCGAAGTTGATCTAAAGGTCATCGGCGCTACTCCTATCGAAGACGGTGCTTCTACGTTCTTGCTTTCGCATTTGAAGTACGACCCCGAGAGCCAAACCATCTCTAGAGAGGTCCTCACTGCCTCAAAAAAGGACTCGGAGATGACTATCGATGATCATGTAAAGTCTCTGAAAGCTACTGCCAATTTGGGCGATAAACTTACTCTGAGGCTCGAGCTTGGTGGTTTTGAGAACGGAGATACTGAAGTGCTGTTGAGCAGAGAGGAGGAGGAGTTTGCGAATCTGAAGCTCGTGTTAGATGCCGATGTGTTTGGAGGTATTCAGCTTGCACACCCGAGCAATGCGAGTCGTACGGAAGAGCTCTTGGCATGGGCGCTGGAGCTGGAAGAGGCGCAAGGTAGTCAGTCGCCTTGAGCACACATTTCAGGTGGGGCGTCCGAAGATGTTGAAGAACGCTCTTGTCTAGTGTAGGGCATGGTAGCGATGCAATGAACATTGCAAGAACGCGGTCCTCATGCTTTATCTTGAGGTAATCATAGCAATCAGATCAAAGGGATACACAGAGCGCTAACAGACGATACAAAATTGTCCTTTCTTCGAATCTCTCAATAACGCAACATCGATTGCTCCACCTCTTCCATTTCCGTCAACCCTCCCTTCCCCTTCCCCTCCCGAGCCCCATATCCCTTCCCCATCCCCCCCATCTCCCCTATTTCCATATCCGTATCCGTCCTCAACCCAATCCCCGTCCCCGCCCCCATCTCCACCCACCCCCCACCGCCCCTCCCCCACTTCGCCCGATTGCCGACGGGCCAGAGGTCTGCGACGAGGGTGAGAAAGTAGATGTTGAGGCCGTAGGCGATTGTCCATTCGAGGATGCCGGCGTTGGTTTTGGTGGTGTTGCATTGGGCGGCGGTGTGGCCGTTGGAGGCGTGGGCGGTGCCGCCGCACTGCGGGGATGTTAGCGGAGGATTTGGGGGGCGAGGGCGAGAGGGGTGACAGAGGGGGTATAGGAAGGGGAACAGCTGGCGAGGAAGGAGGGGGAGCGGGAGAGAGGAATTCAGATACGCACGTATAGATAGCTTGCTCCGAATACACAAGCCAACACGACATCGATAATCACGATAGCCAGCTTCCAATACGCGTTTCTTGGCAGATGTTTGCGTTCTCGGTGCCCTCTTCGTAGTAGCCACTGTGTGATGTGTTAGGACTCTGAGTCTAAATATATGGTGAGGCTGTGGGAGATGGCGGGGGGGAGAAGAAGGAGGAGAAAGGGGAGGGAACCAGGACGTACGACTTCGACTGTCTGACAGAATGCAGAGGCGCCAACGCCGATGATGAAGATCATGGTACCGTTCCAATGTAACACCGAATGCTGATACGCATTCCACTGTAGCCGTGCCAGTCAGTTGTTGCTCTTTGCCGAGCTCTTGCGGACGTACCTTGGCGAGGATGAACAGACCAGAACAGCCCAGCATGCAAAAGACGACCGCTAGCCAGCCTACATACAAAACTCAGCAATTGGCTCGCAAGTGTTCGTATGAATTAAAGGCGTACCAAATATGTTCTCCCACCTGCCTATATGTTCTGGTAGTCTCCCCTTATGTCTCAGCCATCTAATAGCGCACACCGACGAAAAGTACAAGCTACATGAAATGTGTCAGCGTATACTCTGGATTTGAAGTCGGACTTGAAGTCTCACATGTCCGTTAGGATACAGATACACAAAAACAGTGTCTCATTCTGCCCTCCTACATCGCTTATCAGAGCGACGCTCGCAACGTTGTTGTCGTATCTCGGCCGTCCTTGAGAGATCCAGAGTGCGAGAAGCGCTGTGAGGCCGGATAACCAGACGAGGGTTGCGCCTATGGGGAGGAGGATGAATATCCTGTCTGAAGTCGGCAAGTCAGCAAAGGTAGTAAGATTAAGTGGAGAAGGGGGCTTACACCAGTTGCGGCTGTTGACTGCGGTGACGGATCGCAGCTCGTCTTCGACCAGCGGAGACGGCAGTGGTGTCCTGTCCATGCTGTTGGCGAACGCGTCCTCACCCGTAGGTTTTTTTGGTGGCTGGGGTGCTTGAAAGCCAGGGGTATAGGTAGCTATGGAGGATATTGGAGAATGTCGCTGTTTTGGATATTTGCGGTGACCGAGACGACGCGACAACTGCACAGCCTGGAGACGCGGGCTAAAGGCGGCTCGGGCCGCCGACCAATACACGAATGTTCAGCGAATGTTTGGTTCTGGCACAACGGCTTGTATACTGTGGTATGGCTTGGCACATATACTGGAGAGATGCCATTGAATACATAATTTTGATTCGCACAGTCCATAGTGATGCATGAGATTGTTTCTCATGGATCACACGTCCTTCAAGCCTTCTTGTCAAACCAAGCCTGCGCCAGCTCGCCCGCCTTCTTTGCCACACCCAGACTCGCCTGATACCCGCCCACCCCAATACCATAAGCATGCAACACCCCCACCTCCCTACCCTCATCTTCCTTCTCCCCCTTCGTCCTCACCGCCCTCAACTCCTCCTTCACCCCATCACCAATCTTCCTCTCTTCAATCTCCACCCTCATCCCGCCCTCCCTCGAAGGCCTGATCCCAACAAGCTGCTCGACGACTTCGATATCTTCCCACGTGCCCTTGCCATCCTTCCCGTCGAGAGGAGGGTGGAGTTTGTGCGCGTCTTTGAGCATTTGGATGGAACGGGCAGGGAGGAGGTCGGTGGATGCGTCGTTTGCAAAGTAGTACCCGTTGAGTACGACATGGTCCTCTGGGCCAGGGCGGGAAGTGACGATAGCGCGCTGGTTCTCCAACTCATGCTTATCCTTCAACCCCCAACTACCCTTCACCCCAGGAGCTTTCACGATCACACTCTGCCCCTTTGCAGCATGCACATTATCATCCTCCACCCCCAACAACGTCTTTGCCCCGAGGCCCGTGGCGTTCACCACCAGAGAAACGGGGCCGATGGAGGGGAGGTTGTATGCTTCGTCGAGGGAGGAGAGGCGGTGGCGGATGATGGGCACGGAGGCAGGGGCGGCGCGGAGGGAGGAGGCGAGGTAAGAGAGGTAGAGGGGGGCGTGGATGGAGAAGGATTCGTAGCCTACGCCGTATTTGTAGGAGGGAGGCACTTCGGAGGAGGGGAGATGGCGGTACTACGTCATGTCAGTGGGAGTATTGAAGATATGGGAAGGGCGCGTACGTTCGAAACGAGGTCTTTCCACCAAGGCTCTTTCCAAGAGTCCGGGTTGTTCCAATAGTGGTAGAAGGGCATGAGCTGGACGATGGAAGGCTGTTCTTTGGCGACGGTTTTGAGCTGCTCGAAAGTGTATCGCTCACACTCTTGTTCCTCCTTGTTTGCAGTTTGAGAGATCCAGTATGCGCCCTGCAAATTTGATCAGTGTATGGAGGAGAGAAAAGATGGGGATGGACGTACGGCCCAGGGAGAGGCGAAGCCTGTGCTCTGGACGTCTTCTGGGAGGTCCTTAGCAACGAGAGCTGTGCGAAGACCTTTCCTGACCAGCTCTTTTGCGACGGAAAGGCCGAGTACTAGGCATCGTCGTCAGTAGTGCTAGACAGAAGCGGGAAAATCACACACCCCCGCACCCGAGGACGACGACGTCGAATTTCGCTTTGGCTGTAGTCATGCTGTCTTGCTCGCTGGGTGCTTGAGGGCAGTGAGAAGACTGTCTGCTATATATAACGAGATGGCGATGAGATGCTAGACGCGATGACGAATGAACTGACCCCGAAATCACCCGAGAGCTCGGCTATCCGGCGCGACCTTACCGATCGATTGTCGTCTACATATCTTATCTTATCGTTGCGAGGCCGCATGCTTGGGGGGCGGTAGGATCTGCCGCGTCTTCGTATCCTTTTCCCTACTGATGGGTCATCAAGGTCGACATCTGGCGCCCCGAGTCAGATCCTCCACGTAGCCCCGCCCCTAGGTTACGCCACCTATCCGCCCTTATACACAAAGTGTGCAGACAGCCGAGTGCCAATTTCGTCGCATTGTAACCAACAATCACCTCGCACAAAGGTTTCCCATATGGCTTGTATGGAGTGATGGGTTCTCGGTAGGTGTTGTCTGAAAAGATATTGCCCCGTGTGTCAATTGCTCCTTTGCGGTCGGTCATGTGGTCGTGCATCAATGATGCTCCCTTCATCAACATATCAATGGATTCGGTGCCAGCTCAATTGTCATATATAAACACCATCCAGCTGGCTGCCAGCAAGCATCAGCAGCATTACATCACCAACCATGCCAGACATCGAGAGCAGTAACAACAACGACACAACTGTCGCTCCTTCTCAATATCAGGCCAGTACCGCAGCGCCTAGCGTAGCTACTCTGACAAGGGCGTATACGGAAATCACTCTGAGGAAAGGCTATGATCTGGATGTAGAGGAGCGGAGTAGGATGGTCAGTGATCTGATGCAGCGGGAGTTGGAGTCTAGGAGGGCTGGGACTTGGGAGCAGCGATAGTCACCGCTTGGGGCTCGTCATGATGTAGAATAGGTGCCAAAGTTATGTAAATTGTATAGAACATCCATAAAGACCAAAATCCGACGTATGACTAAAGCTTTGCCTCCCCATTCCCCTTCAAATACTCTACAACCTTCTCCCCCACCTCTTTGGCAACCCCCAAACTACTCTGATACCCCGCCATACCAATCCCATACGCATGAACCACCCCCACCTTCCTCCCCCTCCCCCCAGCTTTGCTGTTCTTCCCCTTCACCGTCTCCAGCCCCTGCTTGACGCCTTCTCCTAGGGTGAATCGCTCGAGCTCGAGCCTCAAGCCGCCTTCGCGGCACGGCCGCAAACCGACATTATGCGATACGATCTCTATATCCTCCCAGCTCCCCTTCCCTCCCTTCCCATCCAGCTCTGGGCATAACTTCCACGTTTCCTGCAGGATGCGTTCTGCGACGGCGGGGTCCGGGCCGGTAGACCAGTCGTTGGGTCGATAGACGCCGCCGAGGATGACGTGCCCGTCGGGGCCGGGGCGGGGGATGATGTAGACTCTTTGCCAGGAGGGGGAGATTTTGTCGTTGAGGCCGTAACACACTTTAACCCAGGGCGCGCGGGCCAAGATTGTTTGCCCGCGGGCGGGGAAGACTTTCTTGTCCTCGACGCCCAAGAGGGAGAGAGCGCCGAGGCCGGTGGAGTTGATGACGAGCTCGACAGGCCCGAGGGCTGGGAGGTTGTATGCTTCGGATAGAGAGGAGAGGCGGTGCCGGATGATGGGGACGGAGAGGGCGCGGAGGGTGGAGGCGAGGTGGGTGAGGTAGAGGGGGGTGTTGAGGGTATAGGCTTCGTAGGTTACGCCGTGTTTGAAGTTGGGAGGGAGCTCGGAGGGGGTGAGGGCGCGGAACTGGCGTCATGTCAGTGCCTTTTTCTCTAATCTCTTCGCCTTTGCCCAACATGGAGCTCCCGGAGCAGAGATATGACCCACCCCAAAGACCAAATCCTTATACCAACACTCCCCCCATCCTCCATCATCATCCTCATTCCAATAATATCGATACGGCCGTCGCTCGCATAGGTGCGGTACTTCGCGTGCCAGTCGCTCGAATCGGTGGAAAGTGTATCTGTCGCGTTCTTGTTCAGGGATATTGTCTTTGGAGGCGACAGAGTGCCAGTTTGCGCCCTACAAACGAAAGTACGAGTCAGCTTTATTTTGAATCATAAAAGCAAGGCACGGGTGGAAGAGGAAGAGCAATGAGGGAGGAAGGGAGAAGGGAGAAAGACGTACAGCCCAAGGCGAAGCGAACCCGGTACTATCCAAATCCTCTGGAATGTCTTTGGCGACGACAGCGACTTTCAGACCTTTCTTTGTGAGCTCGTGGGCGATAGACAGCCCGAGGACTATTTTCCATCGTCAGCAGCTTATACTCGCAAGGGTCGTGATGGTCTGGCCGGGTATCCGAAGGGGTGGAAAGGGAGGCATGGAGCTTACCGCCGGCGCCTAGGATGACAGCGTCGTAGGTAGACATTGCTTGGGAGTTTGGGCTGTTGTGGATGGGGTTGTGGATGGAGATGGATGGAATGAGAAGTCGGGAAGAGGAGGAAGGAGAAGACGTGGTATTTGTGAGATTGCGCGCGAGTCGTCGTTATCTCGGCCGCATCGGAGAAAGCCGAGATTCGACAACTTGATAAGTCTGCACCCCGCCTTTCCGTCTTCTTCTGCTTCCTCTTGGGCATTGTTCTCGGGGATTGGAGACGTTCATATGTATGAGTACAGTACATGCAGAACTCCAGATAATCAGATACAACCAAAAAAGATAACGCAAAGATCCAAAACAGAAAAACAAGAGAAGGAGGCTAGAGATTATCCAAAGCAACCTCTCCCTGCCACCTCCCCCACCGTCTAACAATCCGCATAGCAACAGGCAACCCCACGCCTAGTGTGCCCACTCCCAAAGCCAGTACTAGTATACACATGATGGTGCCAAAAAGGGTGAGGAGGGGTTTGACGAGGAGGAAATAGGAGAGGGCGGAGTAGGAGTAGTGGTCGAGGAACATGGCGTAGGAGTTTTTGGTGAAGCGTTTGTCCCATATTATTGGGGATGGGTCGAAGGTTGGGGGTAGAGGGGGTGGGGGGGCGGTGTGGTAAGGGTGGGGGTGAGGGTGGGAGGATGGTGATGGGAGGGGGGTGTAATAAGGAGAAGAGGAGCGAAGGACGGGGAGGGGACGATAAAAGATTGGATGGTATTGGGCTGTTTTGCCCGGCGGTAGAGGGGTGTGGTAATGTAATTGCATAATCGTCTGAATACCGTTAGCTTAAGAAGAGAAGTGGTCGAAGGGGAGAGCTTACTTCGAGCCTTGCGGCCGAACGAGAGATGATCAGCGTCAACCACCAGACTATTGCGCCGAGCGGAAGAGTGATGAGCAGCGCCGTGCCCGCCAATGTCCCGACGAGTAGCCATGGCCATACCAGCAGCGCCTGCGAATGTCAGCTTACCATCAAGAAGTATTGAAGTGAGAACTTACGAAAGGGAAATTGAGAAAGACGAGATGTAGCACGCTTCCCCAATATGCAGATCTCCCAACAGGCCGCCAATACCTCCTCCAACCCTCTCCCCACCCCACCCTAGTGTCTTCTTCCCCACCTTCAAGCTCCCCACACCAAACGTCCCTCCACCACCCCCTCCCTATCCAGCCTGCTCCCTCATCGGCAATAGGCGCGTATTCCAAGTCGCGGCTTGGGAGCAAGGGCGTCGTTTCGTCCGGCACGAGCCAAGCGGTCCTCGGTTCGGGCGTGGAGAGGGCTGAGCGCGCACGTCGGCTGGCTGGAGGGCGTGTGAAGGTGGATGTCCGGGGGCGATAGCGTTCTTGGTTCGATATTGCCGATAACGTCCGGGCTCTATGCCTATGCGGGCCTTCTTCGTCCACGCTCGGAAACTCTACCCTCCTCACACCCGGTTCTTCTGCATCTGCATCTGCATCGTCATCCCCAGCAAGCGGTAAAGGCTGGACAGGGAAGGAAGCGTAAGGCGGCGGCTCCTCCCCTCCCCTAGGCTTTGAAGGGTCAACCAAGAACAGACTGGAACCGTCGGCGGTCAGGACGTAGATCTGCTGCCCCGCCGCTGGGCCGGGGGAAGGCCCGCGGAGGGGGGAGTGGAGGGGAGAGCGTGAGGCGGGGGTTGGGGAGGGGTAGGAGAGGTGAATAGGGTCGGAGGGGGAGCGGGGGAGGCGGGTTGGTCTAGGGTAGGGGGAGGAGGTGGAGGTGGATTGGGAGTGGGTGTGGGGCATGGGCCGTGGTGGGCAGGCGGGTGGGGAGTGGCGGGGGGTGCTGGCTGGCGTGGTCAGAGGTGTTACGATGCTTTTGGGTGCGCTAGAGAGGAATACTGCGAGGAGGAGACATGGAGAGATACGCATACAGAAGAGACCAATTCTCAGGCGCACAAAAGCACGAGCGAGACCCATGGAATTTGGTTCCGTTAAGCCAACGTCTTTTGTCATGTCTTCCTGCTTCAGACACTTGTAGAAGGCAAATAAAGGATCAGTAGTATGCACGATCACCCTGCTCGAAACTGCAGACCACCTTTCTGGCCCGACGTATGATACGAGTACAACGTTTCCTTACATCAACGTAGATTACAACTTCTTGAGCTGAGCAAACCTCGCCGCAAGCTCTTCTTCCGGGGACAGCTTCTTCTCCTTCACTGCTTGCGCTTCTTGCCCCTTCGTTGACTCCTTCTTCTCACCCTCTTCTTTGCCTTCATCTCCTTCACCCTTGTCCCCATCTTCACCATCCTCGCCTTCTGCCTCGCCGGCTTCATCTTCCTCGCCGGCAGTCTCGGAGGCGACACTCTCCGGAACCCAATCGACTTTGTATCCTTTGGCAATTTCCCAGAGATACAGGTCCACGAGTTCGGGGGTGGGTTGGTAGAGTGCGAGTTTAGAGGTGATACGGGCGGGGACGGTGTCGGGAGGAGGGTCGGTGGGGAGGAGGGAGAGGGCGAATGGGCGACCGAACTGCTTCCCTGTCAGTACCACTCTTTCGGATAACAAGAGGAGAGGGGAGGAGAGAGGAGAAGGGAGGTACCTTGTGCAAGAGGATTTCGCGGAGGACTTGTAGTTCTTTCAATTCGGTTCTCGGCGCGGCGTAGACGATGGCGCAGACGGCGTCGGATATGGAAGCGTCGGGTTCGGTGCCGCTGTAAAGTTGCGTCAGTATGTAGCTGTGAAAAGTGGAGAGAGGGGGGAGGAGGGAGGGGAGACTTGCGTGGAAGCGTCGAGCATGTTGAAGCGGGCTTGGAGTTTCTCGCAGTAAAGCTATATTCATGTCAATCACTCTCCATACCCCGTCCGGAGTCTCTTTCCCCACATCCACCTCTACCCCCTCATCATCTCCCCACCCAAGCACAATGCTCAAGCACAAAGGAACTCACTTCCAAAACCTCCAACATCTCTACCCCGATATCATCCTGTATCAGCCCCTCCACCCGTAATCGACACGTTTCGACGCGCCCCTGGGCGAGAAGGTCGGCGATAGACCGGCGGGAGGCTTTGGCGAGGGCGTGTTTCTTTTCTTGGAGAGTGCGGAGGCGCTGGATTGAGAGTTTGAGCTGGACCTGGGGAGGATGTTAGCTGGGGACGGGGAGAGGGGAAAGGAGAGGGGCAAGAGGAGGGGGGGGGGCGTACTTTGGCGCGGGGACCGTTCCAAGGAGGCATAGTGGATGGTGTAGGTGGATTATAGTTTCGCAAAAAAGACGTCTGAAAGGAGACGATAGATTGTATGAAGCATCGCAACGAAGCAAGCTGTCCCGTCGGCCGCCGCCAGCATGACGGGATGTCGGCGATCTCCGCGTTGGCCATCTTGAAATGAGGCCAAAATGAGGCGGTCGGTTCTTTTTCAAGGCGATAGCATGAATTGCCCTGGATATCATGTACTGAGAAACATATTATTCTGAAAAAGATGATGATTCCTACTAACTGTCACTTGTCATCTATTGGCATTGGGCAATCTTCGTACTTAGGTAAAGAGAGTTACATAGAGATTGTAGAGCTCATCGGTTCTATGTACTTAGGCTGTACGTAACACGATGTCGAAATGAGGGAAAAAGACAAGACGGCCATACTCGCCAAGTAAGTCAATAAAAAAAACCTCTCGCGGAAGAAGAATCCACGGTGGTGCTCGAAACCACGACCTCTTGATACGCCAGTTTTACTTGATCGTAGTCAAGCGCACTACCACTGTGCTACGCGGACTTGATAGTAAAGGTATTAGCGCACTGCCTGTCCCCGCCGAAAACTCCCGCCGACAGTACTCACCTTGACAGACTGGTATTCTGTAGTCAGCAGCTACCCAATTGAGCTGCTTCCCACCCCTGTTGAGCAACGCTGAGAACAGAACCTCCCAATCGCCGACACAGGGGGAAGTTTTAACAATATATCCTTTGTGCGTCGCGGACGCGCATGTCCCCATGCGTTCTTTTTCACACACGCTCTCCTTCTTCCTTTCCAAGTCTTCCAAGTCTGCCTCCGATCTATCCAAAAGACCTCAGCCACGCTTTTTATCCTTTCAAGAGTAGCTGATGTCGATCCCAGGCAGGAGGCAGTCTTTGGAAATCCTTTCATAGGCTTCAACCCGGCTTACCCGGGTTATCGTGATCTTCGCTCTACACGACTCCTTTCTTGAGGTGCAGACCTGAAACCTTTCCTAACCAGCTAGCCTCCCCATATAAAGCAGGTGAGCAGGTGGGTTCCAGAATCGAAATAGCATCCCCCTTATCCCAGTCTTTTCCCGTGTATCAATCAACATGAGCGAATCGGCACCATCTGAACAGGCTCTGACCTTGCGTAACAACGCCAACGAGCTCGCCGTATATGATGAGTCTCATAACCCACAGCAGTCACAGCCGTCTGATTACGAGTCGCTCCGAGCGACTTTTACGGAGCGATTCGATGAGGTTTCGAGGACGTGCATGACTTGGGAGAGTGAGGCAAAACGGAAGGCATGGGTTGTTCGCGCGACGAATAAATCGGTCGGGAATATGGAAAGGGAGGATCGAGAAATGTCTCGAGGTTGAGTACATATTATCAAGGCAGAATTGGGTGTGGTTCAATATGATGGAGAGTTTGCGATGTTAAGGAACATGGCTAGCATACGGATCGGAGATGAGCACGGGCTTTCGCAATGATACGATGTACATACACAGATGGCTTACATCACATCGCTGTTGACATGCCTATCAATATGCAAACTACATTGTGTATCTTTTCCTCGATGCATTGGGTACGTTACTGTCCACGTGCACGTCGGACATGACAATTCGTCGGGCCCCAGCTACCCCACCCTTCATCTTGCACGCCGCATTACTCCCCCGAATGCTTCTTCGCTCGTTTTGTCTCTCTTGAGGCGGATTTGGAAGATCCTGGCTAAATTTGGCTCGGTTTCATCACAATTTCAAGGGGTAGATACCTCCTTTGCTCACTCTTGCGCTTCTGACCATGTTTCTTCTCTGTTGGGTGCAATGTCTGACGGCGATTGTGAAACGGCTTGATATGCCAGTAGTCGTCGTCTCTAATGTAAAAGATGCTATATAGAGAGACACTTTGATCAGAGTTCCGAGTATCACCAGTCAACATGAGCGACACACCTTCTGCTGGGTCTGAACGAAACGGCGACAATCAGCTCACTGCCTATGGCGATACACAGGAGTCTCGTAACAGTCAACGTCGAGCATTCTTTAGAGAGGGATTCGATCGGCGCAGCCGGATGGAATATAAATTTGACAGTGAAGTGGACCGATTGAGATGGGTTGAAGAAGCTACGGAAGGTGCAGTGCGTGAGATGGAAGACGAGGACCACCAGTGGGAAGAGGAAGATCGGCTTGCTGCTCAGGAAGACGAAGTGCTTGTCATCGAACAAGATGTGGGGATGAGTGACAATAACAATGAGCTCACTGAAGGCCCCGAGTCCCAGGAGGCTCGCACCGAGGAACTTCGAGCAGAAATCTCAATGCGCTTTGACGAGGGGTCCCGAAAGCTGCACTGGGAAAATGAAAAGGATCGGCTATCATGGATTCGTCGCCAGACGGAAGAAGTGATGCCCATCATAGAAGAAAAGGACCGCCAGAGGAGGGAAGGATAAGAAAATTAGGTGTCTTACCAAAGATGTTGATAGGGAGGGGATGCAACACACATGTTGCTATGCGCAGACAATTATGTGCAAGTCGAGATGTGGCTATTACTAGGCCTCTAGTCGTATGTGAAGCAACCGATCATGTGATACGACGCCCGGTCAAGACCATATTGGACCTGTTGTGAAATTCCCTGTTCTCCTTTCCGTCTGACGAAACAGCTCATTTACCGCACGAGCATTCCATTCTGCCCAATTAGATCATTATCGAACTCAGTCCTCTTCGAGTTGAGATCTCTGGAAGTGGATTGCGGCAGCTGAGGATAATTCGACAGCTGCGGCGCATCACATACAGTGATCCCTATGGTATTTCTGCGCAAGTGCAAAGCCACGTCGCAGGTTTATGGATGTTACGGAAGCAGCTGATAGATTACACATATAGACGCTTGTGAACGGTGTCCAGAACAAATTGCCTGTCAAAAGCTTTCGCAGATTGGTGGGGAATCTCTCGGTGAGTTCGTCAATTTTTCGGGAGGGAGATGTGGAACGTTTTGGCTGACCGATCTCTAGCGATCTTGATGCCAAGAACCTGCGTCACCTCCTCCGTCGTCGCAATATCCCATTCCTTTCCCAGCGCACCAAATATCCCATCTATCTCCTCCTTCTCCGGCGCAATGATGATCAAGTCGTCGACGTACGACAAGATGATAGTAGGCTTACTGGCACCAGACTTACGCCGAACGTACAGTCCCCAGTCGCTTCCTACTCGTTGGAACCCAAGGCCCAGCAGAACATCACGGAGCTGTATCCACCAGATCCTTCCCGACTGCTTCAATCCGTAGAGGGAACCCTTCAGACGCAGGACATTGCAGCCCTTTGACGGCGTCATTCCCTTAGGGTACCTCATGAAGATGGGTTCGTCCAGACGCCCGTTGAGGTAGGCGCCCTTCACGTCGGCTTGACCTATTTCGAGGTCGTACTTGGCGGCAATGATGAGGATGAGTCGGAGGCTAGTGAAGCGGGATGTGGGTGACCGAGGTCAACTCGTAGTCGACCACGGGTTGTTGGCTGAAACCTTGGGCGACGAGCCGTGCTTTGTACTTGAGCACGTTTCCGTTGGCGTCTTTCTTCTTCGCCAATACCCATTTCGATCCCACAACCTTCCTTCCCTTCGGCAACACGGTCTCCTCCCATACGTCCTTCTCCTCAATGGTAGACAACTCTGTCTTCATTGCCTTCTGCCAAGCTTCGCTCTCTTCGCCGTTGAGAGCTTCGTTGATGGTAGCAGGGACGTCGTCGGGGGTTTTCGTGATGGCGTTGAGAACATACTCGGACCCGAGGTAGTGCCACCTGGCGTCCTTACCGTAGTAGTTCAATTGATCGTATACGTCGTCGAAGGAGATTGCGCCCGTAAAGACTTCCGGGGTCGGCGAGGTGAGTGAGGTATTGTCGCTGTCGTCGGAGGAGATTTCTGAACCAAGTTCTAGCACCTCCGTCATTCCAAGTTTGGACTTCTCCGTATCCCCTCCCTCATTCTCGGCTCCCTCCTTCTCCATCGATCCGCTATCGCCCCGTATCTCCTCCACTACATCATCCTCCCCCTTCTCACTCTCATCGTCGACGTCTTCTATCGTGGCTCGCAGAGGAAATGGCGATGGTGTTCCAATCCTCTCGTCTGACCGGTAGTGTTCGCCGGTCGCCTTCCGAACATCCGAGAGTGTACCATTTCGCCACTCGTCTCTATTCGCACCATCCAACCGCTCTTCCCTATATCCAACCCGAGCACCCGCCCGAGAACGGCCTTCTTGGTGTTTAGCCTATCCTTCAGACGAGTCTCCTGCGGTATCTGCACGTAGCAGTATTCGCCGAAAGCCCTGATCTCCTTAACGTTCTTATCCCGCCCCGTATACCTCTCCCACGCCGATATTCTATCGTCACCCATTGTTATCTTCATCAAGACACAAGAAGCGTATCGGATGGCGTTATCCCAGTATTGGTTACCGAGCTTAGCCAAGGAGAGCATCGCCGAGGTCGTTTCTTTGAGAGTACGGATGTACCGCTCACAGACGCCGTTGAGCTCGGGCGTGTACCGAGTGGAACGTTGGTGGATAAGACGTACTCGCTGGTACCAAGCTTGCGCCTCATTGCTGAGGAACTCGGACCCGTTGTCGGAACGGAGGAAGCGGACCCTGGTACCGCACTGTCGTTCGATCCTCGCCACGAAGGCTTGGGTGTGCTGGAGTACGTTGTTTTTACCGGGCAGGGGGAGAACTTGGGATATTTTCGAGAAATCCTCGATAAGTACGAGGGCGTAGGTGTTCCCCGTCTTGGATTTCGTGAATAGTCCAACAATATCCATATGGATCATTTCGCCAGGCGCTCGTGCTCGACTCGACTGGCGGTTTTTCGGTCGTCGTACCGCCTTGTGTTCGCTGCAAGCGGGACAGTCCGTCATCCGGAAGTCCTTGACTTGTTTCGCGTCGAGCGGGACCTGCGTGTAGCCGAGTTGGGAAAGGAGTAAGAGTTTGCGGCCGTTGGCATGCCCCAAGCGTACGTGTTCGTCGTACACCGCGTTGCCGCCGCCGATAAAGTTGAGCTGACAAGTCCCAAAGTAGGCAGACACATAATGCAAACGACCTACACGGAACATCGCTATGGACGAGTCCCTATTCTCTATCACGTCTCCTTTATAATCGACGTCCCAGCCATCTTCCTCCAACTGCCCCCTGGACAAGAAGCTCCCCCCAGTCCCTGGAACGTGGACCACGTTTGTGATGCGGTGCTCCTTACCCTTTTCGTCGAGCAAGGTGAGGGTCCCGCGGCCCGTGACGGGGTGGCGGTGGTCGCCTGGGACGATGATGCTGCCGAGGTTTGGGCCGGTGACGTAGGAAGAGAGAAGGGCCCGTTGGTCGGTAACGTGCTGCTCCGCGCCGGAGTCAACCATGATGGAATGGATGTCGTTTAGGGCGCCGGTGGCGAGGTGGTATAAACCAGTCGTAGCATCTCCCCCGACGAATGGGTTTGACACTTCCTCTTCCGACTCCTTTGCCTTCGTGACTCGCAGGGACCCTGTGAACCTCGGCTTTCCACTTCCGTCAACCATCTCCTTCTCCCCCGTCGCCCCTCCCCTTGGCTTCGGCATCTTCTTCGGGCTCGGGCAATCCCGCCCAATGTGGCCCTTCTTGCCACACCTGTAGCAAGTGCGTGACTCCTTGACGTGTCCCCTGCCAGCATGCTGATCTCATTGCACGCTGGCCACCACGACATCTCGCTCTCTGTCATGGTCCTCCTCGACGTCTTTCTCGGCGATCATCTTGTTGAAGATCTTCATACACGCAAGCCATGAAGGTGGATTGGGCTTGGAGAGTGACCTTCAAAAGTCCCTATACTCGGTGGTGAAGGACTGGTCGCGTCGAGGGAGGGAGAGGATAAACAAGTCACATCGGTCGATCTCGGTGAGTCTGGACTCGTACCTCTTGGCATCGGCCCACGTCTTGTTGTACGTCGTGACATGGTCGATCATCGCCGTTGCTGTCGGGTAGTCGGCGAGCTGCATGGCCCTCAGGTTTCGTTCGGCCTGCCTCGTGAGCTCGCTGGTCTCGTCGGAGTCCAACGTGAACAATTTGATGAGGTAAGTCCACATCTCAGCAGCCGTGTGTAGCTGCTGAATGTCTTGGTACAGGTTTTCTGCAACCGTCTGCAGAAGCACGCCTTGTGCCGTCTCTTCTCTCTTACGCCACTCTTTCCACTCTGTCTTCGAGGCCTGCTTCGCGGTGGTCGTACCGGTGAACTCTGGCATGACGGATCCTGCGCGTATCGTTCGCGGGGTCTCGTCTTCGTCGTCAGAGGAAGCAATACCAGGTTCCTTCTCGGTGCCGTCAATGACAGACGAGAGGCCCTTAGTACGGAAGTAGGCATTGGTGGCCTCCTTCCAGGCTCGAGCGTCGCGATAATTCGTGAGCTTGGGGGATCTTGCTCAAATCGGCGGACATTTTTTCGTCGAGTGAAAATTTTTGTTGAGTGGTGGACCTTCCAGGGACAGACTGTTGCCTAAAGGTGAGGCGAACTGACTTCTAATCTGTCGAATACTGGTATACAGTCTTTAGCGCTTCACACCTGGTAAGATGAAGAAGCAGACATGTACACCAGCTATGGAATATAGTACCGCCAACGATCTCGTCGAGAATAGTTCCGTCACCTTACGTAACCTCGCGCGTCACTCTAGCTACTGAACTCCAACTCCAACAGTATTCCAAGATGTTTGTACAAGTAGCTTCAACCTGGAAAGTCGGGCGGATCAAGATGCGCTCAAACCTTTCAACTTCTTCTTCAGCCCTTACTGAAGAGGCGGGTACCGATTCAGGAGATCTTGGTCAAATTAGGTCTCCTTTCAGTTTCTTTTGTGCTACTGGTCATCATAAGGATTTGCATGGCTCCTTTGTTGTTGGTCGCGAGGCCTGAGAAGAGACTTGAATCATCTGCTATCTTGAGCTACTGTCTGACGGGGGCTATAAAGAATGGCCTCTTCGTTTCCAATCTTAAGAATAACCATCATTCAAGGAGAAATATTAAACAACATGAGTGATTCTCACCCTGTTGACCAGCAAGCTTTGAATTTGCCTACCAACGACGGTGAGCCCGACAGCGGGTTCACTGTAAAAGATGGGACGTAGGAGTGGCGTAACAATCAACGTCTAGAAATCTATACGCAGCGCGCAGATGCGTTTCCAAGAAGTAAAACCAGTTGGGCCAATGAAGCGGATCGGAAGAAATGGGTTAGTAGCTCGGCAACCACAGCGGTGCGTTTGGCGGAGGAGGAGGATCAGAAACTCTTAACCGGAAAAGTAGAGTAATCGTTTCACCACCGCCGGGTATGTCGAGAAGAGGACGATAGTGACGAATGCAACGCACATGTTCATGTGTTTGAAGTGTGATCGATTGCACTCTGACGTAAAATTTAAGTATAATCTACCGTGTCTTGTGTTTCTGCACCTTCTGGCTTAGTGACACCGCCGATAGCAGACGTTGTGGAAACCTGTGAAATGTGAGGCCTAAAAGGAGCTCTGAAACAAGTAACATCGTTCGCTGTTGTTGGGTCTATACCACATGCTGAAAATGTAATGCACAGGTCAGATCTGCAATATCTCCCTTGATACTTTGCTGCGGTCTTTTTCAGACCAACACTTCCGTCTACCACCTCCTTTCGTGGTTTCTTGCAGTACTGCCCCTGACCCTCAGCATGTGTCTTCCTGTTGATTGCGAGGCTTGAAAAGAAACCCTGAAACATGTAACATCGTTCGCTGTTGTTGGGTCTATGCCACATGCTGCTATAAAAGATGGCGTTTGTGTGCCCAGGATACAGCAACATTTGATCACAATCATCACTCAACATGGGCAAGACACATTCGGAACGATCCTTGGTCGTGCGTAACAACGATACAGACCTTACTGTTCATGATTCTTCACCTCATCCACACGACCAGTCTCGTGATGACCCTACAGACATTGTTACTGCCCCTTCTGCCCCTTCAGGCAACCCGTCTCGTAACACCGACGGCGAGCTGACTGTCTATGAGCCTTCCGCACAGTCGATTGGCCCGTCGAGACGAGCATATCAAAGGCGATTCGACAAGGTCGCTAGGAAATACTACGAATGGAAATATGAAGAGGATCGGTCAGACTGGGTCGCTAGCGCAGTGGACACAGCGCTGAACAATACGCATGAGTATGAACGCCAGACTCGACAGACTCTTACCTCTTCGATAAGCACGGCGCTTGCATCAATTACAGGGGGAAGCCCACAGCCGCTCAGCCAAGACATGCAGGATCATGTAGATGAAGAGATGCAGTCGGAAAGGGCCGATGAGATGATGTTGGAGATGGCGGTCCAAGCATTACAGGTTTGTTTGTCACTGAGACATAGTATATCAACATGATGCGCGCCGTATTCGTTTTGGTGATAGAGAAGTACAGACAAATGACGAGTTCCAAGTCAAGTCATCCTTATCTGAAGCTGTTGGACTTTCGAATGTGGTGATTGTGCCGTATTTGACTCAATTCAGTGGTGTTACGGTATGAATATCCTCCTTTCCGATGAAAGTAAGTATCGTTCTGATCTGGACGAGTGACTTCTTCGAGCATGATGTTATTTACCACAATCAGAGCTGTCAAAAGCATATCACAGAGTATTGTAACCAACGCCAGTACTTCTGACATTGATCTAATGTCACTCTTCGCTATGGGATCCCCTTACATCAGGTCACTATCAATGACCTTACAGCACGATGCGGCTTCCCATGCTCTAGGTTTTGAAGATACATACGCCTAGTCAACTCGCACGTGCTGCCCTTCACCTCTCTCAGCCGCATTCCTCCTAACAAGCACTTATGATTTCCCATGTAAGTGCGCTTCCAAATGCCGGCTCTTTATGGGAGCTGCAGAACTTTCCTGATAGAGTAACACGTAGCATCCACAATATAAGATTACTCGTCACCCAAGTCAAAGATATCTCGGATAGCAAACGCCCGCGTCGTCGAATCACGCCAGAAGACAAAGTGTTCGTGAGGGTATAGAAGAAGATGGGTATGATTTGATAAAAAGTCGGGGGTATCGGGTCGTCGTAAAGGATAGGGAATTATAAGGTCGTATGATCAGTAGGTGTCTTCTTCGAGCTCTGGCTCTTCCCCAACTATTACAGCGTCAGTTTGTATGCAAAGCCCAAGTCGAGCAAAGCACTCACCAAAATGCAATGGCTCTCCATGCCTATACCTCGCCGGACTCGGCTCCCTCCCCGGCGTCAAATCAAACAACACGCCCTTCTCTGGCGGCTTCAAATCATCCCCCACAACAGGCTCCAACGCCTCCTCCTCCCCCGTAGCGTCGGAAAACTTGCCAGAGTCGCGTCGGCCAAGGGCAGCATCGGAGGTGGCGGTAAAGTCTTCAGAATCGCGGGGCGCGTCGTCTCTCGGTAAAGGAGGAGGGTGGGAAGGCGTGGGGGAAGAGGAGGACGAGTATTGGGCGACGATACCGTGGATCGTATCCCTATCCCGCCTCGGCGTCGGTGCATGAATCTCCATCTCCTTCTCGTCGAGCTCCGCCGTCGGGGAAGGCGGGGGATAGTCCTCCGCCCCAGGCGTGACGGGCTCGAACCCTCCCACATCGCTCCCCTCGTACGCATACTCTTGCGGCACCGCCTTCCTCTTGATCGACCTCTGACGCTCTACGCCTTGCTCTTCGGCGCCGCCTTCGGGGTAGGGGTCGGACTGGGAAGCGCGGGGGGTGACGATATCGTCGTCTTCGGGGGTGGGGAGGTGCGTGTGGCCGGAGGGGGGTGCTGTGGGATCGCGGGAGAAGGGAGGGTGGGGAGAGGCGGGTAGGCCGCTGGCGGATCGTTTGAGGACGGGGGCGGGGTAGTCTTGGGCCCTAAGTCGACCGGGGGCAGAGACGAGTATATCTACGACGCCTCAGTCAACGTTCCATATCATAAAAGAAAAGTACTCACCCATCCACTTGTCATCTTCCTGTTTTGGACTCGTCTCAACACTACTCAACCCGCTCGCACTATTCACCTCGAAATCCACATTCTGCTCCTTCTGCCTCTCTCGCTCCTTCTTTGACGGCGACGGTATCTTGTCGGAAGAACCAGAGGGCGAGGTCTTTTTGAGATCGGAAGACGACTTTTCACGGCGAAGACCCTTCTTGGACGAGAAAAAGTTGGATCGGTCGTCCTTCTCGGCGCTGCGGGTTCGGTGCATCTTGAAAGGCGACTTGATGGGCGAAGCGTTGTCCTCGCCAGCGACAGCGACGGGCGGAGGCGCCGTAGACTGGTGCCAGACCGTACTCTCTTGCGGTCTGTTCAAGCTGACCTTCTTTGTCCCCCCGCCTCTTGAAAGCATCTTGTCAAAATCGTCCTGGCCGCGGCGGGATCCGCCGTAGGACAGTGAGGAGAGAGAGTTGGGGGCAGAGTAGGAGGAGGGGATGCGGGATTGCGGGGTGGAGTTTGGGGTGGGGGGTTGGCGTTTTTTGGTTTTGGGGGAGAAGAGGCCGAAGGATTTCTTTTGTTTGGGGTCGGCGAGGGCATGTTGGTACTCCTACGATAACGTCAGCTACAGCTTTGTAAATGCATCGAGTTGACTCACAAGTGGCACTCGCTCTTCGAAGAGTATATAAACAGACGAAGTACGCGGGTCGCTCATGGGATCCGGCACCGTAGGCCCCTTGGAAGGCCGGGCCTTGTACTCCATCTACGCCTCATCAGCTCTACCTCTTTCGTTGAGATGGAAAGGCACCCACAATGACCCAATTCGCCTCCCTAAACGTCCTCTCCTCCCTCTCCATCCACCCTCCGCCAACCATCAAATCACACCACACATCCACCCACGCCTCCTCCACATAGACCCTCCCCTTCCCATCCACACTCACCCCGCCTCCTCCGTCCTGCCTATCCTGCATGTCCGCCGCGACGCCGACTTGGGGGGTGGTATCATAGTTGAAAGGTGTCGACTGTTTTTCGGCCTTGTGCAGGCGTTTGGAAAGTTGTTCTTTGTCCTTGGGCCATTGGGCGATGGAGGAGGAGATGGGGGGTGCGAAGGAGAGGGTGGAGGAGAGGAGGGGGTCGGTGCGGGTGAAGCCGCCCGAGTCGGAGGCGAATTCGGACCAGTCCATCGTTCGGCGGCGTTCCGAGATACTCTTTCTTCATCATCAGCTTGAGCCCAGAAGAGGGTGGGAGGGGACGTACGATCTTTGCACTCTCGTTCAAGTCGAATTGCAGTTTGCGCCCGAAATCGTCCTTTCGTCGCGTACTACCCGAATCGAAACCGCCCTCTTCGAAAAGCGTCCACTCCTTGCCCGCTAGACTGCCATAACGCGCTTCTTCCTCTTCATCTTTCGGCTTGCCGAGGGGCCCGAGGGTGGACGCGAGGGAGAGCATGGAAGCATTCGAAGTGGGCCTGGCGAGACCGTATGCCGACGGCGGCTGGTCGGTGTGTGGGGGCGGAGGTAACGTTTTGACAGCCATCCGTCGCTTCCAACTTGAGGTCGGCTGGGGCCTCGCCGTATTCCCACGGCGGGCTTTCCATACGACGCGATCCCAGGCTTCCCACTTTTCCCCAGGCGGCAGCTCGTTCGCCCAGCCTTCAACGGTGGATACGAGGTCGAGGGTGTATGCTCGGACGGTGCGGGAGGCGCGATCGCAGCGGACGATACGTGCGCCTTTGCGCGGCGAACCCCGGGCGAGCTCGGCGTCGGAGGCGAGCATGGCGGGGTACTTGTGGACCCATTCTTTAAGCCTCGATGGCAAGTCGGTGAGGACGGAGGTTGTTTTGCTGCTGGAGCGGATGTAGGCGAGGAGGAGATGCTCTGTAGCGCAGGCGGATCGGACGAATATGGTGTGGGAGGCGAGGGCGGGGATGGAGGTGGGGATGTCGAATAAAAGAGGGGCGAAGAGGGATGAGAGGGCGTGAGGGGTGAGGCCGGAGAGGTGGGAGTGGGCGGCGAAGCGGGAAAGGAGGTGGAAGAGGGGGGAGAGGATGAGGGTGTAGACGTCGGGAGGGACGAGCTGCTTCATGTATGGGAATGTGTCTGCTGGGTAGCCCGCCACTGGAGATTGTCAGCGTGAGTGGTGAGAAGGGGATGGAGACGCACCTCGTTCGCGGCCACGCCACTCTTCGTACGCTTCCCACTCCATCACGCCGTGGCATATGACCCTGGCACCCTCCTTGACACGCGTGATCCTGCTGAGCGCCCAGCGGAACAGCCAGGCAAGCTCGTGTTCTTTGGCAAACTTGATGTCTTGGAGGAACGACTCGAGCTTGGAGTGAGATTGCCGGCCGGACGTGCTTTGGAATGTCAGCTAGGTGGTATATTTGAGGAAGAAGGACGTACGAAATGGTATCCATGAAAGAATGTATCAACATCTTTGTCCGGGTTTGTGACAGCTCGAGGGCCTGGTTTGAGAACAACATGGGAGTCGCGAGAGCTGTATATATGTCAGCACCACCCCTCTACACGTTGGAGATAACGACATACCCCTGCTCTCGAGCTCCTCTCCAACGACCTTGATGACCCGGCCAACGTCTCCCAAGCTGAGCGATATGCCCCTTCCAATCCCATTCAAAAAGCCATACTGTCGCGCAAACTCTCCCCCGTTCTTCTGGATCCCTTCCGCCGAGTATGAGAACGAGTCGATGGAATTGTCGGATGTGGTATTGGGTGGGATGAAGGTGGGACAGAACGAGTACTTGGGCGGTAGTAAAGGAGCAGGGGACGAGGGGGGCGAGGAGGGGGGAGTGAGGAGATGGACTTGACGGGCGGGGAGTGTTCTTGAGAGTGTCAGCGAGAGACTGGAAGGGTGGAGATGGGTACTTACCTCGCACCAGTGCGATCGTTCGACGCGCCGAATTCATCAAAAGTTACTTGCTTTCCACCCTTTTTGGGCGCATTGCCAGGCTGCGAGTCGGCGGAGGGGCGGTCGGCAGAGGGGGTGGCTGGGAGGGTGTGTGCGGTCTTGGGGGGCTTGTCTTTCTTGCGAAAGAGGGAGGCCATGGTGGATGATGGCAAAGAGCAGAGTATGTTGGGGATATGTTGAGAGCTGGCGGGTGGTTGCGGCGTGTGTTGCCTCGAGACGGCGGGCAGCGAAAGGTGGAGGGAGAGTAAACGAGTGTAGAGGGTCGGAACTAGTAGAGAGAAGTAGTAGATATGCTAATCAGAGATGCTAATCAGAAAGATGCAGAGACAAAGAGAAGATCGAGAAACTGAAACACGGGGTCAGTGCGCACCCAGCGGAGGGCCCGAGCGAGAGCCGAGAACAAAAGGATCCTGGCGCGTCGCGTGGGTGTGTTTGGGACATGATCATCGTGCCTCGTCGCCGTGTGGGTCCCAGCGACAGCACAACAGCAACAAAGCAACCAAACAATACGACCATCACGACCACCGGCCGCCGCAGGGCCGCCGTCAGAGTATGACGCTGCTAATCATCCAAGTCTAATCCCATTACAAACCTAGACCCTGGTCCTAATCCTCGGTTTGTTGATGCCAGTAACATCCTTTCTTCTATACATCTATATCGATTTGCGCATCTTTCTTGCCATCAACTACCCGAGACATGCCTATATAATACCCCAGCACACCCCCGCACAGTCCGATGTCTCCATCACCCCCCACCAACGATGTCCCCTCCGCAAACAATCCCGTCACTTCCCAAACAGCCCCAGCAGCCCCCACCTCCCCCGGCCCACCTATCTCCACCCCCCTCCCCTTCGACCCCACTTCAACCCCATCCCAGCTGGCGCCTATCCATGTCCAGCCCCGGCCCACCGATCCCGCCCCGTACTCTGCTCCGGCAGCTCCGGCCCACCAAAGACGGCGCCGATCCGCTACCACTACGGCCCAGCAGCGCCCGAGGACGGCTTCGGTAGTGCAAGATCTTTTCGAGACGATGCCTACTGCTGCTGTCACTACCCCTTCGACCACAAGACCCCAGGCGGTGGTGGGCACGCCGGATGTAGAGCGATCGGCGAGCTTGGCTTCGGCTTTTGGCGGTGGATCTGGCTTTGCAGGCGGAAGGGCGAGGTCGTATACTGTCTCTGTGACTATGCCCGCTCGGCAAGCGTCGGGAGATGATAGGAGGGTACCGAAGAGGCAGGCGTCGCATGGCGTCGAGCTTGGGCAGGGGCGATTCGCTTCCCCTTCTAGCTCGAGGCGGCGGCGGGGCACGGGCAGCGAGGGAGATTGGGCTGAGAGTAAAGCTCAGACGAGGGCGAGGAGAGGCAGCTCGCCGGTGGGGTATGAAGTGGGCGAAGAGGGGAGGCAGCACGAGTTGAGCGATGAGATGGTTGGCGTTTTGGATTGTGTTGATCCGCAGGTCGCTACCAGTCAGTCTTTCCCTCTTCTTTTGCAGGGCTATGCTGATATAGATGTAGTGAATCATCTGCAGAATATGACCAACTCTGTCATGTTTCCATACCTACCCTCTGTCTGGTCACGTCGTCCCGACATCCGCCTCTCCCCCGACTCTTCCGATGAAAGCCTTGCCCCCCTTCAACCGTCCCAAGACAATGTCCACCCTGTTGCCCCGGCTACGCGTTTCAGATCGGCTTCTACTAGCTCGAGGAGGGGGTCGCTCAGTTTGGGGAGGTTGATCACGGGAAGAGGAAGGCAAGAGGACGAAGAAGGGGTGGTGAAGAGCGCGCCGCCGGGGGTGAGTTGGGAAGGAGCCCACCCGCTCGCTATACCCGAGGAAGAGCCCCAGCCAGGAGTGAAGGAGGCTCCTCCCATGGACGACTCTGCTCTCGACACCGCTACGTCAAAGACTACCACCCAGCCCCCCACCGCCCTCTCAAAACCCTCCCAATCCCACTCCTCCCTCTCCCTCTCCTCCCAAGTCGACTCGCTCGATCTCTCACAAGAACAAGACGCCGCCGACCACGCCCGCATCGACCGACACATCCACCACCTCCTCTCCTCCTCCCAAAAACAAAAGCTCCGCCTCGCGCTCAAAGGTCTTTGGGCATTCGTCAAGACGCCCATGGGGTTCGTCACTGCCATATACGGGTTTTTGGTCGTGTTTTGGGGGGCGGCGATCGTGCTGTTTCTGTTGGGGTGGATTGATGTGGGCGGGGGGGATAAGCAGAGTGTGTGGGTGGAGATTAGTAGTCAGGTTGTGAATGGGTTGTTTACGGTGACGGGCGTGGGGCTGATTCCGTGGAGGAGCTTGGACACTTATCGTGAGTCTCTGTCATTTTTGTGGGCGTCTTTGCTGATGGGAGTATAGGTATGGGCGTGATTTGGACGTTGAAGAGACGAGGAGAAAGACGGCGAGATAAGTTGGGTCTTCCGCCCATCGACGATCCTAACGACTTGCCCGACCCCAGGACTATCCCTGGATACATCCACGTAAGTTTCTCCATCCCACTTCATCCCATTTGTCCCTACTCCCTTCATCGCCTCCCCGTGTTGTGTAGGGCTGACTATCGGGCAGGTTCTGAACGAGCAAGAGTACGCCAAACTCGCGCATCATCAGGAAAAGTTTGCCTTGTCACAGACGTGGTATAAGCCGCATGCTACGGCTACGCATCGGGCTTTTCCCATCAGATGGGCGCTGTGGAATACTATTGTAAGTCATACCCCCCACCTCTTCGAGAGTCCTCGAGATTTTTCCTTATCTCTCCCGTCCGTCTCAAAACGTCGCGCTGACTTTCTTGATAGCTCATGGACCTCAACTCGGTGTTTCAGTGTATACTTTGTGGCTGTATGTGGGGTATGCGATGGCGTCAGAGGCCGGCGTGGACGACGGGGTGTCTTATTCCGCTTTCGTTCTTGTGTGGTATCGGGTGAGTCCTTTCTCCGTCTTCTTTTTGCCTTGTCATTGCGGTCGTTCTGTATCGTGGATCCGGCTAATCATGTTCGATAGCGCCTCCCTGCTCATCTTCCTCGGCTCGAAACGCACCAAGAAGGAAATTATACTGTCCCAAAAACTCCGCCAAGCTCTTGGTGTCCCGCTCGCTATCGCGCAACCGTCCACCCTCGACCCGAACGACCCTCTCGTCCTCAACGGCATCCCGGCTTCAGAAAAGAAGGAGGAGAGGTTGGGGGATGTGAGGGGGAGGGCGAGGGATGGGGGAGCTATTGTTGGAGAAGGTGGAGGAGGAGATGGGTGGGAAAGGGAGAGGGAGAGGGGAAGGAGGGAGACGGTGACGTTTGGGGCGAAGGGAGGAAAGGGGGAGAAGGAGAAGGAGGATCATAGGCATAGGGGGCTGACGCTGCCGTCGTCGTTCCATCCGCACTCGGGCTATGCGCATCTCTCGTCGTTGCCGGAGGATACAAAGGTGGAGGTGGAGTCGCCGATGGTGATGACGCCGTCCAGTGGGGCTGGTGGTGGTATTGGGGAGGGTGAGAAGAGGCAGGGGAGCGGGCTTGTTACAGTTAGGGAGGGTGGAGACGAGAAGGATCTGCCTGGTGTCGGAGTCTGATGCGAGGATGACATGAGGGAGTTGGGGGTTGTAGTTTGATTATCTTGCTGATTATGTATCTGTTGTACGAGTTTGGACTGATATTCACCACAATTGCATAAGGAGGTGCTCTGATGAAGACAATTGATGCGTATACGATGATGTAGGTCGCATTGTATGGTTCGAGTGCAACCAAAGTATCAAAAACATAGCAAGCCGGCGTGGCCAAATGGTTACGGCGTTCGCTTCCTATGATCTGATAAGACGTGTTAGCGAGAGATTGTGGGTTCGATCCCCACCGTTGGTTTTCTTTTTGGTTTTTTTGATGTTTATGTCCATCACACTTCTTGTCACTGTCCAATGTGTGTTCATGCATACATAGACGCTGTACTGCGGTAGACTCACAAGCCATTCCGTTTCTATACATACTGGCAGCTTTCATCAAGTGCCAGCTGGTGCACAGCCTGGCTGAAACAGACTCTGCGGAACGTAATGACCCATATCAATAGAATGATTGCATATGGGTCGATACAAGGCCATCATATCGTGAGCATGACACAGTACAGCTATGAATAAAAGAAAACAAAAGGGGGTATCCTGTGAGAACGGGTATCTACATGTGAGAACAGTCTTCTGTCATTCCACGAAAGTGAGCTCTTTCGTTCTATGGCGGCTATGTAAATCTTTATGCTTTTCCCACAATCTTAGGGCGAGGAGATATACATGAAGATTGTAGAGCTCATTGGCGCTATGCAAGACAATATTGTAGTAAAGGAAAAAGACAGTCGCGCCATATTGACAAGTCAACAAAAAAACCTTCTCGTCTTGAACTACTCCCTTCTCCATTCTCCTTCTCCCCCACATTGTCCTCATTTGTTCTATGACCAAATCTACTCTCACCCTACTCTGCATCCCAGGCCACACTTCCTTCTCCATGCACTTCCTCCAACTCCTCCGCTCCGTGGCCGTCTCCTCGCTCATCAACCCGCCGGCAGACTGTCATGGTTATAGGAGGCACCGGTGTTAGGGGGGTTAGCGGGGGGTTAGCGGGGGTTAGCGGGGGGTTAGCGGGGTTAGCGGGGTTAGCGGGGGTTAGGGCGGGGGTTAGCGGGGTTAGCGGGGTTAGCGGGGGTTTAGCAAGTCCGAGGGTTAGCGGGGGTTAGCGGGGGGTTAGCGGTTAGCGGGGTTAGCGGGTTAGCGGGGTTAGCGGGGTTGGGGGTTAGCGGGGTTAGCGGGGTTAGCATCTCTCTCGCAATAA